TTTTCTTGCATACCTTGGACACTCAATAAATATGCACATAATGAGTATATGGAGGAATTCTGAGAAGCAGCTCCTTTTATATATATAGGAGAATAAAATCCCCTTATTCCGAATACGAACACTGATGCTGGCACATAGAACATTCCTGTCCTATAGGCATCTCTGCTCTGGCTTTGCCTTTCAGTTTGTCAGCAGTTGTGTCTTGTTTGTAATTAAAAAGGGCGAGATTCGTGTCTGTCTAGGTCACTGATGGGCTACAACTTTTAAGTATAGCCCTTGGCTTTAGAAGTGTGTGTACTGAATGAATCGTTGCTACGCAGTCTTCATGTACGCTGGGCTCATACCAATGCGCGCACGTGGGAACTTCACAAAAGTTATTTCACCAACGCTGCGCTGAATCCCTTTATCGTACAGAGTTTACTGAAGTGGGGCCAGCTCCCCGCCTATGCTAGCTTCACTGCCAAGGTTCAAGAGGGGTGGAGTGGCCTGGAAGAAGGGTGGAGGATTTGCTTTCTTATAAAGATGCTTTGGGAAACTGGATCTGGAGCGCCAGGTTTTTAGAACGAAAGCAGTCTGAGTCCCAATGGCAAAGAATTTCAACACGGCATGGGTTGTTTTCGGTTACAGAGAAAGCCTGAAAGCCTCAAGCGTAATTAGTGAAAGCAAGGCCCACACCAGAGGAGGGGGCCTCCTGGCTTCCCCCAGAAACCCACTGGCCCGGGAGCAGGATAAGCGCACTTCCACTGAACCCATTTCTTGAGCCCCCTGTGCAAGACGCGGGCTCCTGGCTCACGGGGTCTCTCGGTAGCTGTCCTGCGCCCCCGCAGCAGCTCTCCACCACTCCCAGCCTCAGGTCCCAGACCCAGGTTACTTGGTTACTCTCTTCACGCCGAGAGGGAACGAGACCCCACAGATAAACACACCACGACGTTCAGTTCAGCTCCCGCTGTGTGTGTCCGCGCGTTTCTTCATCATCACCCCTCCACACACGCACACACTCTTCTCCACTCTCCCGAGGGCCCAGGCGCGACTCCCAGAGTGGCTGCCGAGCTCCGAGCTCCAAGAGAGTGCGCCCGGAATGGCCCAAGGGACTTGTTCCAGGGAAGCATTAGCATTAGGGTAAAGCCCTTCCTTCTCACCCTGCGCTCTCCAAGGGCATGCTGGGGGGCATCCAACCCTGAATAAGGCGTACTGCGTGCAACCCTCTTTTTAAAGAGAATACAGAGAAGCCAGCGCGCAGCCCCGCTGGAGTTTTCTGAAATGCGCACGGCAGTCCCGGCCCTGGCGGCTCAGTGTCAGAGCTCCCCGCCTGCGCCGGACGGACACGGGAGGGGAGGAGTAGGAGCCTAGGGGGTGCGGGGGGGGGTGGGGGGAGGTGAGGGGAGGGCGCGAACTATCCCGAGCCAAGACAAGCAGCACATTCACAAATAACGCCCCACCCCCAGCGCACGCGCTCCCATTCAAAGCTGCCTGGACCGGCGGCCGCACAGCCGCTCCGAGGACGCGCCGTGCGCGCCAGCTCAGCCCTGCCCAGCAGGCGCACGCCCGAGCCGGCCGGCCAGCCCCGCGGCCGCCGCCGTCGAGCCCCCGCAGCCCGCGCGGGAAGCCGCGACCGCTTCCCGGGAGGGGTCTCGCCCCGGACGCCCCTCCTTCCCGGCCGGAGAACCATGACTCGGCTGGCTGTGCCCTGGCGCCCGGGGGTCCTGGCCCGCATCCTCGGCGGTACCTGGTGCCTGCTCTACGTCACGGGACAGGTAGGGCCGTCCGCGTGTCCGTGACCCTCTGCCTTCTCGGACCCGTCCAGTCTTTGCTACGGTGGAAGCGCTACAGTGTGGGGCGCGCCGTCTCCTGCCCAGGGTTGTCCCGGGGCTGTGCTGTCACTCAGCGAGGACAGGTGGCGCGGGCTTGGGGTGAAGGCGGCCCCTCGCGGTGAGCCCCGGGCTGGCAGGGTCAAGCGCAGCGCTGAGCCTTCGCCCAGCTTGGGGGCCTGCCCCGACTGCCCATAGGCTCCAGGGCAATGCCGCAAGTGGGGCAGTTTGGGCGCAGAGGCTGCTGCTGAGCTTGGGAGCAGCCCCCGACTGACTGCCCACCCCTTCAGGACTGTCCTGAGCTAAACCTCTTCTCTGTGTCTTCACGGAGACTTGGGCAGTGCCTTTGGGCAGTGCCTTGGAGGATGGGGCACTCTGACACAACTCCTCAGTCGCGTCCTTCCCTGCAGCCAGTGGACTTTGGACATCTTCACCGTAGCCTCACGGGCATCAGATCGCTGGATGATGCCAGACCAGGTGGGCCCCCAGGTGTCATCAGGAAAAGGTGGTTCTGACAGTGCTCTAGGTCCTGATCAATACACCCCCCTCTGAATGCTTTGAGCCAGACGGGGTGTAGGAATTGGGGAGTTCTCCTGAGTGTGTAACTCAGGCTCCAAGGCGGTGCGAAAGGGTCCAGAGAGCATCTAATTCACAGTTGGCTTGGCTGTGTGGTTTATCACTGAAAGACCCTGGAGAGAGCTGCTTAGGAAAGGGCCGGGGTCATTGAAACCCTTGATGTATGTGTTGTCTTTGGCATTCATGCTTACCACAGTCAGGTAACTTTTGATTAAAACTCATGATTTAGGCAGTTTGTACATAATTTAGCCTACATAGACTTGCATTTCATAGGATTACTTGGGTAATTCTGGGAAAATGCCCAAACGCTCTTGGCCGGAATTATAGCCAGATAGCCTCCCTTTCCTCTGTTTTGCTTATGGAGACTTGTCCAAATCAGGGGATTTCTTTCTTCCCTTGCTTTTATTTAACATTTTGAAACTTGTTTTCAGATCTCTATTTTTAATGGGCATTTTGACTGCAGGGGTGCACTTTTAGAGAGAAGAGCAAAAATGATGGTATAGAAGACCCCACAACCAGCTAGAACTTGACCCAGGGACTAACTTAATAAGTGATGAAAATTTGCAGGAGGAAACACCTAATTTAATTGGCGGATTGTCCGTTGCAATAGCTTGTCTTAATTATCACAAGTTTCATCCCCTGTAAACTTTACCCCATTGTAGGGCTCCTCAGAGGTGGCTGCACATTAGGATTGCCTAGGGGAACTCTTGAAACTCCCTATTCAAGGGCCACACCCTGGCTGCTTTGCTTCAGAACCTGTAACACTCCCAGGTGATTCTGATGTGCAGCTGGATTGCATGCAAGCCATTGTAAAAATGATGGTGATTGGTACTTAGAGAATATTTGACCACCCCCGCGATCCCCCCACCCCCCAAGGGAAATCAAAGAGAACAGTAAGGAGGCCCCAGGAGACAGACTCAGGAGAGTCTTAACATGTAGCTTGCAATCCTGGCTGTGTCCCATTTAAATAGCTATGTCATTCTGGTCAAGGCCCTTAACCTTCCATTTCCTCATCTGTGAAATGAGGGTGTTGGCCTGTACTTTGGAAGGCACTGCCAGCTCCAACAACACCAGGCAGGTTGACATCTAATCCAAATCAAGCCAGAATGCCATCTATCTTTAAACATCCACAGCAGTAGAAATTCTCCCTTGAGACTTTGATAAAATATCTGCAAATACTTGAATGCAATAAAGATGCTAAAGAGGACCACAAATACTTTTAGATTTGTGGATGTTTATTTTTGTCTTGTACTTTATCCCTTCAGACCTGCTTAAAGTCATTTGTGCTTTCTTGACATCCAGAACAAACTCAGTTTCCCAGTATTACACACCTTTCTTTCTTACTCTGCTTCTGAACCAACTTTTTTTTTTTTTTTTTTTTTTTGGTGGTGGTGGTGGGGGAATGAAGATAATGAAATCAAATTTGAGCTGTGTGTTGGAATAGGTTTATTTAATTTCAAATGGCTTTTTCTTGTCCCATTAGGCAGGGCTGCTCTCCACATGTGAGGAGCCTGACTAAACTTGTTTTAGGGAAGGAACAGAAAAGAGTTTCAAGTGGTAAATGGGTTGTGAATCCTGGTGGAATGCAATATACTGGAGCGTTAACTCAGGTGTTTTTCAGGAGCAACTGATCTTGCAACACTGCCTCATGATCACTCTGTTTTTTAAAGCCAGGTGAGTATTGGGCCTCCCTGGTGGTACAGCGGATTGAGCACAGTGCTGTGAAGCTGTGCAGCCTCTGCAGCACAGATTTGATCCCGGCCCCCTGGGAGGTACCCACATGGCGTGGCTGACCTCTCCTGTCTCGCCCTGCTCCCCTCAGCAGTGTATTTCAGTCAGTCTACCTGTTCTGTTCCCCGCTCTGTCTCTGGTGAATCCTCTCATCCTCCTGCACATCTGGCCTGTACCCCATTCTTGTATGCATAAAATAAAATAAATCCTTTAAAAAAAGGCCAGGTGAATGTTGTATCTAATCAGTGAATTAGACCAGAAATTTGCAAACACAATGTCAAGCCAAGAAGTCATTCTATAACCAATAGCCAGTTCAAAATGATTGCACATTGAAATTTAAACATTCTTTAACCTTTTAAAATCAGTACCTGAAGGCATAGCTATCAGAGGTATCAGAACCTCCCTGGCTATGTTGTAGACATGGGCAAAGGAGGGTCCCTATTTAAACTAAACTATACCCGATGTTCATTCTCCAAGTATAAAGAACAATTGTAATGCAAATGGATCAGGAATTCCAACATTTTTATCCCTTCTTCACTGACTTTCTACTTGCAAAGGTTATTTCCCTCTCCTGTTGGTACTAAATTACCCTCCTGACTTACAAGAATCTTTTCTTTCCCTATATGACTTGACGGTAGCTCCCTTCTTAGGTTTTGATGAAACTTATTTTACTGATATTGTTAGGGGGAAAGGCTGTGCTGAGCAAACTCCATACAGGCTTTGTGGACTCTCCCCACTCCATCAAGACACTGGGAACTACAAATCCCATGATCACCAAAGGGAAGGTTGCAAGGACCTGAGGGTGGAGTTAAGCAATTAGGCTTAACTAGTTGGGTATTTAACAGGTCATGTGGCTGGGGTGTGTGTGTGTGTGTGGGGGGGGGTCCCTGGCTTCGCGCAAGGCATGCTAGGTTTTTGCCCGCTTGGTGTGTCATTGGAATTCCAGGTCAGCGGAACAGGTAGGACACATTTACGAACTCATCTCCCTCTTTTTCTCCCTGAGTTATTCATTTCCCATTCCCCTTTCCCCTGTAAGTAAACTTTTTATCAACCTTTTGCGTGTGTCTGCAGTTTAGCATTAAGTCCCCTTTCAGCGCATGGGTGAGGACCCACAGTCAGGCAACCCCATTTTATGTCGGGGTTTGCCCTGTAACACTATCTTTTCATTAGCTGAATCCAAATTGCTCCCAGATAAGAAAAGAGTAATTAATGGCTTTAACCACTAGGGGTTGTCGACTACTTAATGATTTCTATAACTGTAGCAATCCAGTGTGAAAATAAGTGAGGTTGGAGGACAGGGTGGTAGCTAGATCAGCACAAGTTTGTTACTATTGCTTAAAATGTCATTTTGTGGCAATTTGCATTATTTTGGTGGTATGTCCATGATATCTCCTTCAAACATCGATTGACTATGTTCATTTACTGTGTTATTTGTGTGCTTGTGAGGGAGGAATTCAGGATGGCTGGAAAGAATTCATGGCACCTGATTTTCAAATAAGGACTTTGAAAAAGAGTGTTCTGTCTCTGTTATCCTCTTGTATGTCCTTGTTTCACCTTTTTCATTTTTTACTGTGGTGATAATTGTAAATGGTTAAAAATATACTACTGTGAGCCAGCAAGGAAACACAGCCACTCCTTGTGCTTTGCTTTCTCCTAATTCCAGATCCTAGGGCCCAAAGACAAGCTTTCTGTTTGTTTTAAGTTATTTTGAAGTATAACTCCTTTATTGTTATTCTGTTGTGTAACCATCCCAGGCCCGGAAGGTTCAGAGTCGATTCAGGCAAATGGAAAAGAATTTTGGAGCCCTTGATAGATGTGACAGGCCTTTAGTGCTAAAGCAGGGGACTGGACACACGGGCAGACCAGTAGGCAGGGGGCAGGCAGCAACTGAGACTTGTAGCCCCCAAGATCTCCGTACCCTCGTTCTCCTCTCATCATTTGCCTTTCCGCCCAGCTGTCTGTATTTATATATAAGCATGTCCCGTGCTCTCTGTCCAGGTGTCTAGGATCACAAGTGCGCATGCCCCGTGTTCATGCTCCCAGTAACACCATATCATGTGGGTAGTAAACAAAAGCCACAGGTGGCGACCATCCAGGCTCACGGCAAAAAGTGAAAAAGAGGCTGCACCACTTTCCTGTTCCCTACACCTTCCTTGCACCCAGCATCACTAGGCAAACTGGGAGCTACTTTCTGTCATTATAGATTAGTTTGCATTTTCTAGTTTGAATTTCATGTATATAGAATATGGTAGGTATGGCGTTCCCCACCACCCCCCAAACTCAGCATTGTTATTTTGAGAATATTCATACTATAGCCTGCATCAATTTGTTCCTTTTACCTGAGAGTTACAAAGTAATTACCCTGAATTACAATGTAATTCTACTGCATGGATACACTGTAATACACTGTAGTTTTTACATGGTCAGTCTTAAAATAGAAGACAGTTTTGAATTAAATTCACCAGTCAACTAAATTCTCACAAATTCTCCTGCAAGTGAATGTGTCAAAGGCCAGGGAACTGCAATTCCTGCTTCTTTTCTCCACAAAATGCATGGTTTCCAGACTGCCACAGATGTGGTTTTGTGGGTGTCCACCCATGACTGGTGAGGCTACATCTCAAGTCTTTTCATGGTCTGAAAAGGAAAGAGGAAAATGAGGAATGGCAGGAAGACTTTATAAACCTACGTGAATTTAATTCAAAAACTGTCTTCTATTTTAAGATGATTTTCCTTGCCTTTTTTCCTGCTCATAATGTTCTTTTATAAAATCACAGCAATTTTGAAGGTACTTTGTTGTTTTTAATTACTTATTTGACCGAATGGAAAGTTGGCAACCCAGCATACTGCACGCCTAAATGTTCTTGGGAGGGGTGAAATGGTAAGAGTCTATGAAAGTCCCAGTCTGGGAAGCTCAAACTGAGACCAGCTCTTGAGATTTGGGCATTTTCTTTTCTCTTTTGGCTTCCTGCCTCTCACTGTAGTTCTCGTGTACCAACCTCACACACCCTCTATCTTTTCCTTCTATCTTTTCTTGGATGACTTTTTTTGTGGTTTTTTTGTCCATGCTTCTCTCTTCATAGGTTAATAAGTGAATGCATGAGTTCAGAAGCTGCAAATGTGGGTAGATGAGATATCATTTCTTTTTTTTTTTCTTTTTGTAGTGTTTAAGGATCCTATTTTCATCGTTTTTAGTAGATCATTAAGCCTGGGCCAGGACCCTGTCCAAATCAACATTGCAGAGAGTGTTCCTTGTTCTGGGTGAATAAGTAGTTCCTTGAACTTGGCTATCTTAGATGTGTGGAGTGGGAGGGATGCAGAAGGACCTCATTCCACCAGCACCCCTGTGTGGGGAGGTGGCCTGGCACAGTCTTACAAAGGTGTGGCAGGCATTCCCTCTCTCCACGAGAAGCTTCTTTAGGAGGCTCCCCTAGAGCAGGCTGGAAGGGTGATGCTGCTCTCCTGTGCAAACCTTTAAAGACACTGGGGTTTCTCATAAGGTGCAGTGCAGGCTGATCTCTGCAGAAGAGCACCACACCACCTCTAACTATTCTGATTTCATGGGTGTCGGTGTGGACCAGGCCAGAAAGGCTTTAGAGTGAAAGCAACTTCTAAACAATTTGTCCTTATGTGCCCAAACCTTCCAAAAATGCATCTCCAGATTAAACCACTCTCTTGTGTATTCCCAGGTCCTTAAATCCACTCATTTACTCAACGTTTCTACTGAACATCTCAAAGTCATTTGAAAGTCACCTAGCATTTGCAAGAGGGGATGGTCCAGACTTTATAGAACCTCTTCTTGATATCTCCAATTCCTGTGCCTAGAATTACCATGCACTCCATTCATGCTCAAGACAGGAACTGGAGTCAGCTTTCTTTTTCTCTCTCCCTTCTCATTTTCCTCATCCAGGTTGCAGTAAAATACATTTTAATGATTCTTAAACCTATCAAATCCCTGACTCATCCCAGCTACCATGATCTCTGGGTGGGTTTCTCATACTCGCCCATTTCCTCACACCTCGATGAGCCTTCTTCAATCCAGTCTCCCCACTGAAACCTCAGTGATCTTTTCAAAGTCCAGTATTTCTTCTGTGCCCCAACTCTGCTTAATGTCGAGCCCCAGGACTCTGTCCACCCCTCCGACTCCTTCCTGCCCTACACGCCCCATCATTTTCTGTGTCCCATGTACTTGCTGGGATCTCCCTAACTCCTCAAGAAGCTGTGCTTCTTCGTGCTACAGGGCCTTTGTGTCTGCCTCCCTCCTGCCTTGTCAGTGTCCATCTAGTCTTGGCATCTTTGTTCATGTCTCATGCCCTCAGGAAGTCTTTCCAGACCTCACATCTAGGTCAGCTTGCTATGTCCTCTGCTGCCATACAAATGTAGCCCCATTCCTTCAGAATGGTAAAAAGATCAGTGGCTTTCAGGATTGCGGGGGTTGTGGGCGGGGGGAGGCAATGGTGAGAGATGAACAGGCAGAGCACAAGTGGGTTTTTTTTTTAAGATTTATTTATTTATACAAGCACTGGGTACAGTCAGAAGTACAGGAGGGTGAGAGAATTCACCTGAGCCAGAGCGGAGAACAGAACAGGCAGACTGACGAAATACACTGCTAAGGGGATCGGCGGGCATGGCAGGAGAGGTCTGCATGCCATGTGGGACCCTCGCTGGAAGTCAGGGATCGAACTGGTGCTGCAGAGGCTGTAGGCAGCTTTGCAACCCAGCGCTCAACTGCTGCGCCACCAGGGGAGGCCCACAAGTGGTTTTTAGTACACTGAACTACTCTGTAATATATTATACTGGAAAATGCATCTCATTTTACATTTGTCAAAACACATGGAATCTGGACCCTGAAGTAAACTAACAACTTTGGGAAATAAGGATGTATCAGTGTAGGTTCATTTTGATTATAATTAATAATTAAATAAATAATTAAAGCCATCTGGTGGGGATATTGATAGGGAGGTTTTGAGTGTACTGACAAGAAGATCTATGGGAACTCTCTATTCTTTACTCAGTTTTTCTTTGTGTCCAAAAGTTCTCTAAAAACCAGATTTTATTAGTAAATTATAACCCATGGGGTTTTGAGCCATGAGAAGTGAGGAGACTCAGTGCTGTACATAGGAACATGCACACCCCTCCAACATCATTGACATCCCTCTCTAGGAAATCCTCATTTTTTGCTGTGCATTGGATTAATGAGAGGAACTTGGATAAAATGCAGGTGTCCAGGTCCACCCAAAAGGAATGGAATAAGAGCCCCCAGAAGGAACCCCAGGAGAGAAATTTATTTCTATATGGCTCCTAGTTGTGTTATATTCTAGAATGCCCTCATAATACTCATATTACATGATATCTTGAAACTCAGTGCCCTTGAATCTGAATCAAACAGAGGAATCATTTGTCTGTAATTCACATAAGCATTGCAGCACATGGTCTGTGCAGTAGAGTGAGCTTTCATGAACAGAGTGCCCACAGGAGTCTCCTGTGGTGCTTTGGTGGGGTTTCTACTTTTACCCAGGCATGGTGGTGTTATAGCTATTGACATGCTATATGTGGTTTTTTCTTTTTAAAGATTTGTTTATTTATACAAGAACTGGGGTACAGGCCAGATGCGCGGGAGGGTGAGAGGATTCACCAGAGACAGAGCCGGGAACAGAACAGGCAGTCATGACAAAATACACTGCTGAGGGGAGCAGCAGGCGAGACAGGAGAGGTCTGCTTGCCATGTGGGTTGCTCCAAGGCCAGAGGGGATCGAACCGGCACTGGAGAGGCTGCGGACAGCTTGACAGCACTGTGCTCAACTGCCTGTGCCACCAGGGAGGCCCTGACATGCTATATGTTTTACATTTGGCCTTCAGATATACCAGAATTAACCAAAAACATAATGTCACCATATTGGTTAAATTGGTAAAGCAACAGTATTAATTTGACTGTCCATAGTTGCATTTAAGTTTTGATAAA